ACTACATGGGGAAAAGGAGCTGTATTTCTTTATTTTTTTTAAAGTTAAATACAACTGTGAGCTGAAAAATAAAGCAAAACCAAGGAAGACATGAGGCCACACGTGTCCAGCTTATTTGGTCAAAAGCCAAGTCCATTATCGTAGCTTTGCTGATTAATTTCCTCTGAGATTTTCCTGACTAAAATAATATTTGGGTATCAATGACACACACGGGGGTAGATGACCTTCACTTGGCACTGAGCGCAAAGGGCAGCAGAAAGAACAGTTTTAAGCCAGCTTCGTGCTCTCTAACGCTTTGAAGCTTCAACCCATGCCCAGTTGCAACAGTCCTTGGAGGGATTCAAACAGCTGAGAATAGCCAAAGCCACCGTCAGACTCCAAAACATTCTCTCTGCTGGTGACTGTCCTCCTCTGCCCCCTTTAGGTACTGGAAGGCTGCTCTAAAGTCTTCCCAGAGCCTTCTCTTTTCCAGGTTGTACAACTTCAACTCTCTCAACCTATCTTCAGAGGAGAGGTGCTCTAGCCCTCTGACCGTCTTTGGGTCCCTCATCTGGACTCACTCCAGCAGGTCCATGCCTTTCTTGTGCTGAGGATCACAGTCCTGGATGCACTATTCCAGGTGGGGTCTCATAAGAGCAGAGTAGAGAGACAGAATCATCTCCCTCCTACCTTCCCCCCTACTAAGTTCTCCACAGTGGTATCATGCATCCAACCTATCTGAGGGAAAGAAAGATGAGAAAATATTTTTCTGTTGCTGGATTCATTACACATCAAATGCAGGAAATTACCACTCAGGAGTAACCTTACTTTTTAGGATTAACCCATTCCTCTACCCTGAGGTCTTGATCCATGTGCATAGCCATTGAGCTCTGATACGTATTATTTTTGGTTATTCCTTTTCTTTTGTGGACTCCTAAATAAGACTTGATTTCATGAGTTCACATCTCAAGCTGACGGGAATGTAGACTTTTTATTACTGAGTTTTGATTCGACATTATGATGCAGCCGACCTTCTGTGTGAATTTCAGTTTTCTCCTCGTTTGCACTGTCTGTCCCTCAGGATTTTCTAACGAGATTTGAAATTCTTTCCCTTTTTTAGCATGAGAACACACAGGTTAAAGACAAATAAGAATTGTCTGAACTGTTTTTGCAATAAATAATATGAGCTACTTTTCCCTTATTCACGTGAGTAGCTGTGCTGACCTCAAGGACTTTGCTTGCACTGGCGAGTGTTGCTTGTGTGAATAAGCCCAATGTTCTGCTGCAAGGGAAGCTCAGGGAAGCTCAGCACCTATTTGGATAAGTTTTCTGTGCTCAGTGAGACCTGACTTCATTGCAGAGCAAACAGACAGGCAGGCATGGCAGCATGATCCTTTTCCACTCTTCCAAGAGAGAAAACAACTAGATCAACCTCATGGATGCCAAATGGAAAGACCAAAGGGTCAGCCTGCTAAGCCATGTCTGCTTTTGTGTCAAACCCCCTCTGAAGGACACACGTTCCCTTGTTACCTTGTGGACTCCTGCTTGTAGATGTCGATGATGTTCTCCACCAGCAGGTTCCTCTGCAGCCCATAGACACCATGTCGGTCCAGGACCACCTCGTGCCTGCAGGAGGGACAGCGGAAACGGCCTCCCGACGCCACAGTTGTACCTCCCCTGGTCGGCAGGTAGGGGTTGGAGGCCTGTTCTTGCCAAGTAGCACAAGGAGAGGAGGGTAAGGCCATGAAAAATCATGAAAATCTCTTCCAAAAGCACCAAATGGTAGGAAACCATTTGTCACTATGCCAAATAAGAGGGTAGCTCCAACACACCACCCCTGGAAAAGCATCTGGTGACTACTGGTGAGAGGCCAGTCCCTCAGCTCACACTTGGCCATGTCCCCGCAGCGAACAGGTGACACTTTCACCTGCTGTTAGCTCATCCTTGGCCCCCGGGGACATCAACTTTGGCTTTAAATCACTCTCCCCCTCCCGTATCACCAACTCTTAAAATCAGTCAACCAAAACATGTAAAAAACCTGCTTTCCCATTCATTCCAGCCTGTGCTGCTTGGGAAGCAGAGCTCTCTGTGGGAAGAAACCTACCTGGAAGATGTCACTGGCGCATTTCCGACAGAGGTTGTGCTGGCAGGGCAGGATGACTACGGGCTTGGTGAACATCTCCAAGCAGATGGGGCAGATCAGCTGTTTCTCCAGGTTGTCCATAGTTTGTTGCTCTTTGGAGAATGACTTATAGCTCAGGGAGGTGCTCATCCCTAGCTTTTCCAGGGGCATGTGCTCAGGACCACGGCCTTGTGGAGAGGTTTCCGGGTTAATTTCCCTTGAAATAAGTCCAAGGCTGTGCTGGGATCAGAGGCTCTCTGGGTTGCTCTGACTGGAGGACATTGTTCAAGCGAGGGCTGGAGGGAGCTGGGGCTGTTTTTAGCAGCACTGCGTCACAAGATGCCGTCCTGCCGTGCCCATATATGCGCGTGAGAGGAGGATAGGCTGGGACAGGTGACGGCTGCCGGGGGAAGGGGGGGAGGCCAGAGAGGCCCTGGCTCTCCTCACTCACACATGGCAGCCTTCACCCCTTGAGGAGGAGGGGGAGCGATGAGCAGAGGCTATCCACTCCCTTCCCTTATCTTTGCAGGGCAATGGAGAGTGAAGGGCTGTCCCAGCCACATGCCGAAGCCTAACAAATTCTCTATTTTGAGCAAGCAGCCATGGCCATGAGATGCAGGATGTAATTTTGCCCTTGTGTTTTGGCGGGCTTCAGGATCCTACCTTTCCAGGGTGTGAAGTACATATGGTTACTGGAGAAGACAATAAGAGCAATGGCTGCTCTGGAGCTTGGACACTTCAGGGGATAAACATGTTACCACCTTGAAAACTAGATTAAAAAAATTGCTTACCTATAACTGTGCCTGTTTCTTCTGGTAAGGTTTTCATTTTAGGAACTGTAACATAAGAATCTAAAATGACTATTCATGCCATTAACTCCATGGCAGCTTAAATATGCATGGAAAACATTATTTGAATTTCCTGATGAGAAAGAAACAAAAGAAATACAGTGTGAAAAACTTTAATTTGTGCTGCTAGAGAGTAGGTACTAGTTGGACCTATGTTCTCTCCGCATAGTTTAATTCAAATATATTTTAGTTTTGGGCACTGCTGTGTTTATATCTGTTTATTAGACACTGATATCCCTCTCAGTTTGGCACCTATTCCAGAGTTATTTTTAAAATGACAATTTCCCAGATAATTTGTGACATGTGATGCCTGATCTTAAGGGAAAGCCATCTGTGCTTCTACTTGCCAATAATTTATCACACAACTGTACAAGCAATAAATATCTCATCCTCAAATTTAAGCCAAAATCCCTGCATTACTGTATAAAATCACTTTGCCACTGTACTGTATATGTAATCAGAATATTGTCTTCTATTTTAATCAATAACTACAATACTTTCTTTGTTAAGTGTCTTGTAAACCTCTATAAACCTCTATAGTCTATAAACCTCTAAAGTTTATTCTGCCTCATGCCTGTACAGGGCTTACATCTGAAATATGCAGTAGAGCAGCTGAATGAGTCCTCTATGAATCCAGGGGCAGACTCTAATTCCAAAGGAAGGACCTTTGTCTGAATGCAATACCAGTCTGGAAACTATGCACTTCAGGAATATATAAAAGTGAAGGTTTTAATGGATTTCTGCATGAAAATTAATACTGTTCTCTGTATGCAATGATAATGAATCAAATTAAATGTATTATTGATTATTTTATTCTCAATACCTTGCCTGCTTTTAAAGTGTTTGGGTGAACTCCTGTTCTCATTTGCAGCTCCCTAAGCTGGAAATTCCACTTTGTAAACTTGTATGTCTGTCAGCAGTCCCATAAAAACAAATAGATTTCTCTGAAGTCTTGCATTCGTGGGAAATTAGTGATAGCTTAGTTAAACCCATTTGAAATCACACTTTTGCTTTGACTGCCTAGTGCAGGCAAGAGCCCGGAGTTGAGTGGGAGAAGTTGCTCTGGCAGCTGAGCCACGGACAGCTGGGGCTTTGGCAGGGCTGGCAGGGAGCCTCCCCTGGCAGTAGCAAGTAGATATTTCTCTTCCTCCCCTCCATGGCTGGGTCAGAGGTGACTTCTGCATCTGGAGAAATTTCAACGCCTCATTCTTGTCCTCCTAACTCTGAGTCAGCTGCCCTTTGCGCATCAAAACCTGCTTCAGTAAGGAGCTTTGAATTAGATGAGGAAAGCAGTCCTCACCTGGCCGGGCAGGCACTTCCACCTCGCTGCACAGGCAGAAGCAGAGAAATTCTGGGAGGAAAAGCTGAAGGCTAGAAATGTCAGCACACAGAAACAGTGGCATATGGTGATGTAGGGAATGGGGTGTTCACGGCATGGAAAGAAGCAGGGGGATCATGCCGCTGTGTTGGCCCTTTGGACAATGAACCGAAGCACCCCTCAGGGTGTAATGTGCCTCTGGGATGTGATTCTGCTGAATTTATATTTACTTGTGGTAACCCACAAAAGCCTTTTGTTATCAAGCTGAGCAGGACACTTGATGCAGAGGACATCTGATGGCAAAGAGGTGAGGGACAGTCTGGTCTGCTGCTGGTTTTCCCCTTTCTGTGTGTGTGGTGGTTTGGAAAAAATTGTCAAAAAGCTAATTTTAAAAGTTTTTCTATAATTTGTTCTAATGTGTATAGAGAAGTTTTCAGACACTCACAACTCAGTATGGGGGAGGGGAATTGTATTACAATTTATTACATACACAATAAATACTATAATACATATAAATACATATATATAACAATTTTAACTATCTCTTCTATGGTGAAACAATATATAGACATAGACTGTCTCTCCTTTCCTTCAAAAAAAGTCCAGAAAGAAAGAAGAAGGAGTCTTCTTTTGACTTTCAGGCGACAGCTCTTCCAAATTAATTTCTGCAGCACTTAGAAGAGTCTCTTATCTTTAAGGCAGCAGTTTTGATTTGTCGTAGCTGGAATTCTTCTTTCTTCTAAGGCGTTTGGGGAGTCTGCCCCCACTTCTCGCTCCTTGGCCACCTCATCCGAGGGTATTACCGTGGGTTTTGGAGGAACACCTGTGTCACCACATCTGCAGCACAAAGTGCAAGGGGTTAAAGTTTAAAGTCTTTATCCCCTGCTCTTGCTCCATGAAGGTTCCAGCCCACAGGTTGAGCTCTCGGGAGACTTCTTTGGGGATTTCCACCCCTCCTCCCTGGGGTAAAAGAGTTCTAAGGGCACTTGGTTTAGTCCTTACCCTAGAACTGATTCCAACCGACTCTCTCTCTCTCTCTCTCTCTTTCTCTCTTTCCATCTGATGACCCTGCATCTCTCGGTCTGGCTCATGCTATATTTGCTTTTGCCTCTGCTTTCCTCTCCCCCCCCAGCTGCGAGGGGGAAAAGAAGATGCAACCCAGGGGGTCTTCCCGATTTTTTGGGATCCCCCTCGGTCACCAGCTTCGGGGGGGAATGTTTCACTCAGTCGCTGTGCTGCTCCTGGCCCCCCTGGCCAGCAGCCGGGGGCAAACACCCCCCGGGCCCACGCCGAGTTTCAACTCATGGCTCCCTGTCCTTCAGCTACGCAGTTAAAATTATCCTCTTCTCTTCTGATTCTGTGAGTATGTAATTTCCGCACAAAATTTTTAATTGATCCAGTATCAAAACCACCACCTCTGGGGCAGACTATCACCAGCCCCAGGGGAAAAGGTTTTTTTCAAACCACCACAGTGTGCCAAAGCATGCTAACATGGAACAGGTAATGAACAGCACAACCAAAAAAAGGAGTCAACAAAACAAAGAGAAACCCACCTTTTGCAACGTGGCCTGAGCTGAAATATTTTATGGCAGGAATATGGAGTTCAGACACATGAACAGTTAGAATAGGTTTTTCTGTCAAGATATTATGAGCTGCAGCAGTGAATGCTAGGTAAAGAAACGTGGAGGCTTGACCACATTTGCAAAGGCTGGACGAGAAGTGCCAAGAAAGCCACACACTGTCTGACCACTCTGCAACAAGAAGGAAGAGAAGAGCAAAGTCCAAGAGCCTGTGGAGACATGGAAAGGTCCTGCAGCTGGTTTTCAGCAGGGATTACTTAGGATGGACTTCGAAGAACTTGCACTGAGAAAGAGCTTGGCATCCTCCTTTCTCTCCCTGGCAGCCCTGTCCCCCTCCCCTTCCACACCCACAAGGGAAGACCACCAGCACGCACAGCAGTCCACCTCCAAAGAGTTGCCAAGCCAAGCCATGCACAAGAGGACCTGCTTTAACCCCGCTCCTAGACAGAAACTCTGGATTTCTGCTATCCATAACCAAGAAGAAAATATCTCTTTTTTTTTTCCTTGCAGTATTGCTTGCCCAGGAGTGTTACCTGGCTTTGTTGACACCACCAGAGCACTAACTCCTAAGGATATGCTTGCTTTTACAGATATTGCTTCTAACTCCTGTTTTGCTCCAAATAATAGCTTGAAGCCTGTAGACTGCTGGCCTGGAGAAACTGGAAGACTGACTGCAAAGCACTGGCTTTAGGAGTGGGATTTGGAGGAGAAAGGAGAGCTCGAATGATGTCCATTCGAGGTTCAGGTTTCAATGCCATAATGATATCTCTGGGTTTTGCGTTCACAGAATTCCCCTCTGTAACCTCTTATCTTGTACCAGAGCTGTTAAGCTCTAGTGTCTCATTCAGAAAATCATCCCTGTGGCTCTCTTGCATGACTGGAAAACAAAGAGAAAAAGTGTATTTTTGCCAGAGGATACTGGCAAAAAAATACTCCCATGTGACTTGCTTCCCCAGTGGGCCTGCTAGAGACAAAGCCACTCTGCAAGCAGCAGGCTCCTTGCCCTGGCATCCTATCCTGGACACGGTGGGTGCTGAGAAGCATCCCGGTCCATGGGGTGATGGTGCCCTGCCTTGCTGCCACCTCACCTCCCACCTGTCCTGGGGGATGAGTGAACACCCTGACATCCCTACCACCCAGCCTGAGGGTGGGGAACTCTACACTGGCAGCTGCCTAAAGCAGACGGCAACTGCCCATCATCCCCCGGCAGAGAGCGATACCTGCCCCCACCCTGCTGCCTCCAGCAGCTTCCTGTGCTCCTGAGTCTGGTGGGGCTCACATGGAGGCTTTCAACAACAGCTCAGCTGCTGGAAGAGGACACGTCTAGTGGGTGCCCTTGTGGGGCCAGAGGGAAGCAGCTACTGCCGCTGCAAGGGGGGACCACCAGACCCATCTGTCCATATCCCCCTGCTTTGCCCTGCCTTGTTCACCTCCAGTGAGAAGTCCTGGCTGCCCAATCAATACAACATCTTAACAGGTTGCTGCCTCCAGTTCTGTCCACCTGAATGTGAGACTGAGCAAAATGACAATGCAAGTTTCCCCTCTTCCCATACTGCTAACTCTGCTTGCTGTTCTGGCTGAAAAGATTTACATTTTTAGCCAAGCATCCCTCGGGGAGGTTATGGGAGGCTCTCCATCCATCTCACCTTCTGTATGTGCCCATGAACAGTCCCTCAGGAGCAGACAGTGAGCACTGGCATTCCCACCTACAGCCAGTATGTTGCAGAGACTCAAATTTCGCTTACATTGGCAACGACTTACTAAACCACTGAGCGAGCTATAAGATGAAGCCCTCCTACCTATACAAGTGCAAACTGCAAAAGGTATTTTGCATTTCATGATTTTATTGTGATCAATATACAACCCATGATAAAAACTGAAACTACCCCTGTACATGACTCAATTTATGCAGAGAGCCTTTGCAACAGAGACAAGTGCTTTCAAAAACAGTTGCCGTTTGAGACTGACATTTTTTCCACTCAACACATATATATATTTGTCTTTGTGTACCTCATATGTGATGACAGGCCATATGCGGTCAGTATTTGGAGACCTTCTAAAAACAATCTGAGAGATGGTTTCAGATCTCCGGAAAAACAAGGACCGGCACAGGAGATAATGACATCTTTCGAAATTTCCTTTTGCACATATGAAATCACAGCAGCAGGGGCAAGCTCAAAGCTTTTCCAAGGGTGAGTCACTGGGAGCACATCAAATGTGCAAGACAAAGGTTTCAGGGACAAGCTACAAAGACCAGCCAGAGGGATGATGTCTGCCCTTTTCTTTTGAACAGGGGATGGACACTGACCTGAGCTTAATCGTGCTCACAAGCAGCCTTCTCTGGGCTTATCCCTGCTCAAGGAACTTCCACAGATTTCAGCAAACAGACAGAAAAAGGGATGAAAGGGTAGATGAACTAGGTAATAACTTCCGTTCCAGATTCATCAGTGGTAACAACAAAAATTATATCAAGCAAACCTCAGGGATTTGGATTAAAAGACCCTGAAACGGGGAGAATCTGTGGACAAACTCACTACTGTATGCTGTGGCTCTGCCATCAGCAGGATACCAAGACATGGGTCGTTGCCGCAGCTGTCTGCCTGGGAGAAGGAGGATCCTTTAGCTTCCTTCTGTCCTCCAGCAGTGCCAGCAAGCCGGAGTGAACCTGTCACCCAGCTTTAGGGGACACAGGGAAACAAAGCCCTCCCAAAAGAAAATTCTGGTTTCCTCACAGTACTCAAGATCAGGATGAGAAATGGTGGTCAGGCTGTACCCTTCAGGGTGACCCTGAAAGGTGATTATCAAGAGGTGTTTATCATCTTCCCTGCAATTATCTGTATTCTCTAAAGTCTCAAAATCAGTGAGATTGAAAAGACAGGCTGTGGGATAACAAACATGAGATGAGCAGTACAGCATCTCCCTGAGGCACACACAACTTTACAAGCCCAGAGATTCCCAAACCCTCGTCCCCTCCACACATTACTTCTAGAAAGAGATCCACATTTCACAGGCAAGGCATAAAAGTATGTCCAAAGCACTTCATGGAGGAAGGACTGCATGTGGGAAAGAAATAGGACTGCATTACTGCCTACCTAAAAATAGGTCCTTTCCAGGGCTAGGGACAAGTTTCACAGATAACAGGCACAGGCTTGCTTTTCCACACCCCCAAATATGCCCTGCAGTGAAAATGAGACACGAAGGAAGAAAGGATATAAATATAACAAAAGCAGTTAGAAAAATAGGAGAACACACCACTTAGAAAAGTGAGAGAATACCCCTTTCATTTTGGAGATTAAGCGATCAAATGCTTTACTATTTTAACACAATCCCCCACTTTTCAAATGCACCCCTGACCCTTTGCCCTCTACTTTGCTATCACAGCATCCCATAGGAACCTGTTTGTAAATCATGAGTAGATGTCTCTCCTGCTAGCAGAGAGGAAGGAATGGCAGCTCCTCCCCTAGTACCTGCATTTTGTGGAATAACAGGGGTATTTGGTGCCGGGTTAGCAGCGGAGGAATTGGTGCTGTGACAGTGAGGATGGGCAGAGGTGACTCAGCAGGGGCAGTGCTAGGGGGCCTCCTGAGCATACCAGAACTTAAGGAAAAGAGGATTGCAGAGCTCTAAGAGCAAGAATTTTGACTGGGGGACAGATTTGATTTCTGCTCTGGACTTAACAGGCCATAGCACTCCGCTTCAAACCCCACTGCTGCAACCCCAGCTCTGCCAGTAGGAAAAGAGAGTGATGTTCAGTGAGAATGGACTTGTGTTTCAAATCACAGATCCAGCTCAGACTTCCCAGCTGGCATCAGCTCATCACTTCGCAGAGATACAGCCCTGTCCAAGTGTCAGGTTTCTCCCCAGCCTTGGTCTGCTTGACATAAGCCACTCTCGATGCTATTTCAGTATTCTCTCCATTGCTCAGCTGGCAGAGCAGGGTATTTTTTTTTTCCAGGACAATGCTGAGGTCTATAGTTCAAAGGGGAGATTGATTTTAATTGTATACTCAGTACATGACTTCGTACCACACCATAGACGTGCTGAGACTCCATCCCAGCCTCCCAGGATGGTCTAGGTTATGTTTTCATCCATCCCCATCTTGAGGGTCATTCCTTCAGGATAGAATAGAGATTCAGTGCTCAAAGAAAAAGGATCAAATATTTTGGTATTACAGCTAAACAAAAATACTCTGTATGGGGGCAGGAAGTTTTTCACACAGTAAGTTGCTACCAGAACTATTCAAGTGCCTGTTTAGCATGTGACTGGTGACAGAGGTGACAGAGGCGACAGGGGTTCCTTGGTTTTGTTTTTTCAAACTCCTTTGTTTTCTTTTCATGTGTTCCTTTGCCCTGAAAATGCTCTTAAGGCATATAGGAAAAACCAGCATGACTATTCATTTCTGAGTACCAATGCTTTTTTTTCCTTTTGAAAGTCAGATAAGAAGAGCAAGTTTCCCT